AGAGAGTAAAAGAAAAAAGTTTTTTTCTGTGAGTTCTGTGATTCTTTTATGTGTGTAAGCTTGGCATTTCGTTTCACAGCCAGTTACTTGGCTAGTTCTCCAATTAGCTCATTACGACAGATCTTTGTTCATTTCCTATTGCCTTTGCCGCTTATTCAAAAAGCTTAGTATTGTTTTGTTTTACAGCCAGTTACTTGATTAGTTTTCTGATTGGCTTGTTGCCACAGACCCCTGTTTATTTGCCACTAGTTCAAAAATTTATAGTTAATATCAAGAGGGAACTTGATTATATAATATACCTCTTTCAAGTTCACTCAGTATCCTAGTTTAGATCAGATTTTTAGATACTATATAGAAGTTTTAAAGGATATTTTAAGATAAAATAATAATAATAACTGACCTTAAAAAGAGAGTTATACTTTTTTATACTAAATGGTATAAAAATTCTTTATTATATTAAGTATATGTAATCTTCTAAGGCAACACAGTTGTAGGAACAATGTTATATTGTTAGTAAGATTGTTTAAGCAATGATTATTGATATAACAAATTGTTATATTCAGAGAAACTAGTAATTCTCTCTTTATAAATAATAAGAATCAATATTTTTTTGATCAGGATTATTTCTGACCTTGACAAGTATCTGTTGTTATTTTCTTCTTTTAATTTACCTGCTACTAGTATAATAAAGTTAGTTTGTAGTATCAATATTGTAGAAATATGAAAAAGAATATTAAGGGAGCTAATACACCTAAATATAACTTCTATTTATGATACCTTTATAGAAGAGAATACAAGCTATAGTATGCCTGGCAACTAGCAGTCTCCATTGTATTTTTTTTAAGTTTTTTAACTATATTATATATTGTTATAAATAGTATGTAGGATATATGTAGAAGTATTTTAATTAACTTCCAAGACCTGGATGGCATGTTTGACCAAGCTAGTCTCTGTAAGAAAGTTAGACCTTGATTGCACTATATGTTGGAAGTCCAAGCTGCTTCCCACACCTGCCTGGTACCTTTCCCTTTTCCCCTCTCATTCCCTTTCCTCCCCTCTCCCATTCCCTTATCCCCCCCCCCTTTCCCTTACCACATAGTTTGGTGGTTTGTTCTCTTTGCCTTTCAGGAGAGCACTGGAAAGCATGGGAGTATACAGGGCAGTGGAGGAGCACAGAATGGAGTACAGGAAAACAGAGGACTGCGGGAGTATGATAGAAATTCTCTCAGTGAGAGAGTGTGGCAGAAAGGCAAAAGCGCAGGAGCATACTGAGTGAGAAGCAGTGCAGGAAAGTGTACAGGAATGCAGCGGAAGGGGTGCATGGCTGGAGTCCAAGTTTGTCCTATCTTTCTTTGTTAGCTTTATGTTTGCTGAGATATGGGGGCTTACCTGGTAGGGGGGGCAAGACAACAGTTTATCTTTTCCTTTGTTTGTTTGTGTTTGTCTGCAAGAGGGAAGGGGAGGACTTACCTGGGGGGGGGAACTTTGTAGTTTATTGGCATTGCTCATGGAAGATACTAGTATATTCTCCTATGTTACCTGTTAGTTAGTTCAGTGTACAATAGTTAGGGGAGTGGGTGAGAGTGAGAAAAAAGTTTTTTTTGTGTGATCCTTTTGCATGTGCAAGCTTGGCATTTCATTTCACAGCCAGTCACTCAGCTAGTATTCTGATTGGCTAGTTGTGACAGATCCCTGTTTGTTTGCCATTGCCAGAGCTATTGCTGGAGCTGTTGCTACCACTGTTCCATGGCTCTTTTCAAAATTATATACCCAGCCTCTAGCATGAGATGTAGGAAGACAGGAAACTTAAATAGTAACACTCTGAGTATAACTTAGTAATGAATGTAGGGTGGGAATAGGGAAAATAGAAACCAACTTGGACTGAAAGTAAATGTGATTTAATTAGTTATTGAAATAATGTATTTGTTCTCCCCCTATAGGAGGTGGTGGTTGTATGTGTGTGTGTGTGTGTATGTCTTCATTCATTATTGTTGTTGTTAAAGAGGAAGGGAAAGAGGCTGCTCATATACATAAAATATTGAGCGCCGGGACACCCCCAAAAAAAAAAAAAAAAAAAACGACAAACCGTGGCCCAGTAAACCTATCTCCTCCCACATCAATGTTGGGTTCGGGGGGGGGCAACTAACTATAGATTTTCTAAAACTATGATATCCTCCCGGTGGGCTATCGACTACTATAGACTTATGATATTATACTCGTAGAACAGATATCTAATCACCGTATCATGTGGGAAAATTGTCAAAGAGTAAACCTTCTTTGCTCCCTCACCCCTGCACATCTCACTATCTCCATTCCCGCCTCCCTGCTCCCTTCCCCCCACTCTCTTCGCTTCACACTGTTCACTTTTCCTCCATTCTATTCAATTCAGGTACTGTTCCGTTGCCTCTGTTTTCTCCTCTCCACTGTTTCCCGCTCAACTCCTCATATCTCACAGATACTGCTCATTCCTCCTCCCCACTCCTCTCTCCCGTACATCTATCCCCACTTCCAGATCTATCCAACCAGGAAACAAGCTGGTATAGCTTCAAATCCAGACATTATCGCACCCGACCTCTTGGGCACAGTCGCGTACTGGGGGGTAATTCCGGGTACCACCACTACTTCCAAGTGCTAGAGTAATCTCTCCATCGTCTGAATAGAAGAATCTTTCGCTCTGTCAGGTCCTATCTTTTTCCGGAGGTGGCGGATGGAGTTATTACGCCCATGTTGGATCCTCCTCTCCATTCCATTCCTTTCCTTGCACAGCTGGGTTGGCGAGGTTCTTGCCCGCCCGCCCGCTTGCTCCTCTACTTACCCCTTTCCTATATCTCTCTCCAAGCTCCAACCTTACATACCATGCACCATACCTACCGTATCCACCTCTTCCTCTTTTACCAGTAATCCAGCTCGCTTCGTGAAACCTTTGTTCCAATCACGACTAGTCCGCCTTATTCGCGACATCCCAACCTTTAATTAACTGTTATAACACGAGTGAGAGTCTATGATTTCCAAGTAGAACCCCCACAACACTGGAGGCCGGGTACCGGGCTTCTGGCAAGTGAAATAAGGTACCTTGCAGCGAGTTCTGCTATTCTCAGACCTTACATCCCTCCCTGCCGCTGCAATTCCTGCCAGTTAGGCACGAACTACCCCCATAGACCCTGTGGCCCATGACTTCTCCCACTCTGGTATTCAATTTAGAGCTCAACATTTACTCATTTCGTAGTTCTGCAGAGGTGAATGATTAGAATGCATTTAGGAGGGCTCCTGGGACTGAAATTAGCACAAGCTAGATAAAAACTAGTCTAGCACATACTTTTGAACCCCCATCTTAGTTGAGGATGTTCTTGGCTTCAAGAAGGCGGCCCGGGTAAGATCTTCTCCTATTGTTGCTTTCTTTATGAAAAAGTGTCCCAAACCCGCATTGGCAGGGCTAGAACGGTCTGGAAATATACGCTTTTTCCCCCTCTTTCCGAAGATCTGTGTATCGTCTGTGTATATTTAACCGGGTGCCACCCAAAAATCAGGAACAGCCGAAGCGGAAAAAAAATCGGGTTGGGTAAGGGTGAAACAACTTGAATGGCAGTGCAGCAAAAAAAATGGTAGAGAATCCTAATTTGAAATACAATGCGTATACTTAAGAGAATAATTTTTTTTAGGAAATTCTTATCTGTATTGTAGAGGTTTTGACAATTGAACTAAGTTATATGCTAAGTTAGGTTTTCCTCTCTTGAGAGAAATTATATATTTTTTTGCTCTCTAAGCTCTCTGGAGCATGCAATTTTGGACTTGGGTATGTTGTTCAGTTATTTTTATTTCCTCATACCTTGCAATACAGGTAGAATGAATCCCACTAAAGATTTAAATGCTATGAATTTAATATAGCGACTGTTCCGAGCCGATGACTAATATCCTGGTGTGTTAAAGAGTTAATACATATTTATACTAGTGATAATCCAGACCCCAATTTTATAACCAGATTTATTTACACCATAATTGCTGATAAAATTTGCTTTTACCTATCTTTTAATATCGTAGCTAAAAAGTCAACAGATGTCCTTCTAAGCTATAGCTAAGGCAACTGTGTAGAGCCTTACGGGCATCAAAAGCAAGCGAGTAGAGAGCAGATATTCAACCCTAGTGAGCAGAAGTGGTTTGGTGTCTCGCGCTCAAGCCCAGACGACCATCCTACAGGAGTTCGATCAGTAGGTTTCCCAACGGTACAAACATAGTAGGAACCTCCACTCTATACTTTTCACTAACTCATACCTATTTCTTGTCACTAGAAGACTTCCCGCGAGAATTTGAATGGATATAGAGTTTAGAGCGAAGGTCTGGGACACGGACTGATCCTAAAGAATTTCCTTTTCTAAGGTCTGGTTTATGAGACTGCAGTAAAATTAAGTTACAAGCACACATGAAAACTGCTAGGTACAAGTAGAAAATAATTTATCACAGGATCACATCCTGTGGCAGCCGCTCAGTTCTCCATGTTGTGTGTTGGGTAGTAAAGACTAATGTGCCGGGGGTTGCTATCATAACGTTGGTTGACCAATTGTATACAAGTTCCCAGATCTCTGAGCCCTGCAAACATAAGTACTTCTCTAGATAGGATCCGGGCTCCGCATTAAAAATTTTCTACGCCAATGATATGGGATGGCTTACTGTAAACTGGAGGGATTATACCCTCTCGAAGCGCTCTCTACGACACCGGACTTTGGATCCGGAAGTGAGCTGTATCGACTGCAGATGCCGTAGGACTTGGCGAACTTCCGAATTTTCAGGTCGGGGTCCCATGCGGTTTTCGGGGGGGATTTATTCCGGAGTGTTCGTTTATTACGCCTCCGCGGTGCTTTGCTTCCCATGGACATGTTATAATTCGAGGCTTCAAAGCACACGGTTTTACTACCGGAACCAATTCTGTCCCGGAATGGTGCAGACCACGTTACAGTCCAAGTCATACCTGACACAGTCGAAAAATGCTATTTATAAAACCGTTATCACGGGTTAGGAGCTTCTTACTAATAATTGAGTGATTGGGTATTGTAGCAAAATATTGCCTGACAGAGTAGGAACGTCCAGTGACACAATCTAGCACTCGAACCACGCAGCCCTACGATAAGATGTTGGGACCCAGATTATGATATCATTCCGCACTTGCGCTTATTCGTTCTATTGCACTCTGGACATCCTGTCCGTGGACCACGCAAGCCCACGCTCAGGATTCAAAAAAAAAAGAAGAAAGGCAGGAGAACACTAGGAAAGAGTATCTATGGGGGACAGGGGGGTGGCCATATTACACTCATTAGTTCAAATCTCCGACTCAATCTTTCAAGTAATGAATTCAGGCTCGCCCTTAAGTTGAGGAATTTTTAACGAGCTTGATGACAACCAGAACACAATCATCCACTTGCCCAACTATCACCGTGGGAAAGAGTTCGCGTCAGCACCGATCACCCAACTCCCACAATTAAAACCACGGGAATAAGGAGAAGCGATAGGGATAACCTACCCCCAGTTTGCAAATAAATTCTCCAATCATTTCCGTCGGGCTTCGCACAAACCCTCCTATTCCCGTCGGGTCCCAATTCTAACTGAGGGGCATTGGTATCTGGATCACACCCGGGATACCCACCCCACAGCACCGTCGGCTCGACGCTCGGGGGTGTGGCCGGGAAATAGACTTCCTCGAGGCCAGTATAGGCGCTCGGTCTGGTGTAAACCGGGATCTGCTCTGGCACCCCGACGGGCGGAGCGTGGTAGAGTTTCTGCGAGGTTAGGTGGTAGGCCGCGGGAGGGAGAGGGCTGCTGCCGTAGACAGTCATCGCATGCTCGACCGGCCCCGTGGTTTCATCTCCAAGGGCAGTGTGGTATATTGCTCGGTTGTGTAGCGGGAAGGACTTGTTTTGGACCGAGAGAGTGAGGGTTTCTTCAAAGGTGGTGTAGAGGATCGGATTCACGATGCAGCTCTGGCGGCGGGGGAGAGAGGCACTAGCCAGGAGGGTGTAATAGAGGGTTAGGATGATGGGGATGGTGAGCTTTTGGAAAGCCATTTTTAACGGTTATTGCTTTGTTTGGCGGACCGGTATGGTGTTCTAGGGGTGTCGAGGTGCCTTCTTTAAAAGCAAGCGGCTAAGAAGGAATGTTGATAGGCTATTCAGCTTCTCTGCACCGGGGGTTGGAGAGTAAGGAACTGTGAACTGGCGTCGACAGCTCGACCCTTTTATCTTATTTTCCCCTTCCACCTCAGATACCACTGGCGGTGGACAACCTCCTCGTATCCAGATCGACCAGTACCACACGCCAAGAAACTATTCAACATCACTCATCACCAACTTCTCCAAACCACTACTAACCTCTCGCTTCATCCCGGAACCTTTCGGCAAAGTGCCAAAAGCACGGGGTTGCGGTGCTGCTCACGTATTCGGCATTTCTCACAAACTCACCAAGGCACAAACTGAGCATTTTGTACCGGTACCACTGTCGGTATACGAGTGGTAGCGATCACACAGCCTCCTAATTTCCTCCTCCCCGTATTCGAGGTCCTGCTGTAGGTGTCGGGACCGCTTGTACAAGGGTCAGGGATACATAATGGTGCAACACTATACATAACTCAGTAAAACCCCAGTAACAGCGGCGCAGCCGGGGAACATGGCCCTGAGAGGATATCTACAGGTATCTCCCCCTTCTCGGTCAACTTTAGACGAACACAATGGATGGATTAGGTGCCTGGCCCCCAATTCGGTACGGCTACCGGGAGGCGAACACTCTGCGGGCACTCGTCGAACAATAGAAGGTTTGTGTTTCCCGAGCAGCAAGTTGCAACCTACCACTGGTTCCTTCCCAAATCAGCATCCACATCCCTGCTCATTACTACTGCTTTATACCTGACCCTTGTACCGTACCGTACTCGAGTACCGGTACGGGTGCTGGGAGGTGCAACGGTAGTGGTGCGGAATGGACGAATGGGGAAATGATGCACTACGACCTCGTAAAGCTGAAATTCCAATCTTAGAAAATGGATGCGGGATAAAATATTTCGCCAATCCGGCTCAGGGCCCGAGAAAAACCTATGTTGGCGTGACCGAAAACCGGGATTAGTTGGACGGTGCAATGGGGTAAAATGACGTTTTCGCTCGACCCCCAAAATAGATTCATCTCGTGTTCGGGAATGAAAGGAAACGTGCAGTACCGGTAGTAATGCATAATATAGCTATGCGCTATTAAGTGTATTAGTAATGAATGGAGCTCTTGGTCAGAAGTTCTTGGTGCCAGAATCAAACCCCCAAGCCCTTGCATAGAACTTCAGTTCTTGAATGGAGCTACCGGTGGTCGACCTAGGCGTAGGAAATCCCCCCGGGGGTAGCCAATCAAACCACCCCAAAAGTGACCAACGCTGCTCATTGCAGTATTTGCCCTCTATATTAGTCCTTCATAATGATTAGAAACCCCTAGGTATGCGCTCGGTCCGCTTGTGCAGGACTCATTCCATATAAATATCATATCCAGATACTAAAGATATTTGACCCGACAGCGAAACGCTCAATCTTCCAGCTGAGATCGTGCTACCCGCTAGATTACTCGCACTCGAATGCAGCTGACTCGGGTGCTTCAGTAAAACAGCTGCGTGACCACCACAAACCATCCCATCAAGCTTCCAACCAACCTTCACAATCCCACTCACGCTCCCCGATACCCGTAACCAACCAACCAGTATCACAGCGCCAGCAAATACCTACGCACGCCAATGACTCCCATCCTAGGGCATCATCGAGGCACCTCAGATGGGTGTGCTGGCCGGTGTAGCAAAAAAGGAAAGCTAGAAATGCTGAAAACGGTTCCCATCCTAATTTCAATTTTGCCCGATTTTGTGGCCGGATTTCCAAGGGAAAGGGCCGCCGGAGGGGGGTTTTGGAAACTTGTGGGAGAGAATCCGTAAAGACGGACTAAGTCAACGGTTCCACCGTATGATGATATGCAAATCCACACTGGGATTGGAGTCCCAACAACGAATGGCATTGGTGTGAGCAAGAACATAGGGCCCATTACGTGGGTGGTCGGCAAAGCAACCCAGTTCCGCACGGGCGGGAAAGCCGACACCTTTCAGGATTATGGAGTTATCGAAGGAGGACTACTGGTCGAGATGCAAGATATCCCGGTAATAAAATGATACATACAAATAGGCAAGTATTAACTCCCACATCTCCGGGAACATGCCTAACCTTCATAATAGTCTAGGGTAGACATCACACTGTCGGTATAAGCACCCGCACATAAAAGGACATACTGTATTGCCATTGTGTAAACTCGGCCCACTAGTCAGTATTATCTGCCCCCCTCGGCGCCGCTCTTGGCTTCAATATCAGATTCGGACACAGCATGGTCGCCATAGCGATAAGCCCCACAACTCTCATCGCCCCCTCAAACCCAATCCTCGGCTGTAGTCTTTGGACCACAACCGGTAATAGAGCCCCTCCACTAGCGACCCCGATATATGCTAAACCAACGGCTAAAAATCTCTGCTCCTTGAAGTAGGATGAAACCAGCCCGAACATGCTGCAGGATAATAAACCGTTCGCAATCCCAACGCAAACCCCTTGTGTGAGGAACAACTGCCAATATGTCGTCGCGAGGGGAGCCGCAAAAATCCCGAAGAGGAATAGAAACGTGCCCACAGTGTAGCGATACCGAAAGAGTCTAGCATCGGGTCCACAGGCAGTAAATGCCGCGAGAAAAAATAAGCCGAAAGCCTGCATACACCGAATCCAGAAAAACGCTGGTGATGCTCCTAGGGTCTCCACATAATAGGATTGAAGCTGGCCACAGCACTGGAAGCATCGTGGATGTGAGCCATATGAGCGCACCAAATCCAAGAGAGCCTACCTTGGAATATCCGCTGAGTTATAGGCACAATTAACCTTGGAATCGACCACAGGAAGGAATTGTCCCTTACATGGTGTTACACACTGTTATATGAACCCCCAGGACTTGTAGCCAAGCTGTCAATCCCCCATCAGGTGGATCGTCAACAAAAACTAACTTCTCCCGCTCGCCAACGGGGTCTTCAAACGAAGTTGGTGCCCTCGAAGAACCTTCGCCTGTCCGTTCAGAATGTAAGTTCGATTCGGCAATAGGGTCTTCCGGCGGTGTTGGCCTCTTCAGAGAACTTTCACTCGTCTGTTTGGGATTTGGATCTACCATAATCTCAAAATCCGACCTTCTATCTTCTTGAAGGGAATTTAACGATACTTTCTTCCGCTGTCCTTGGAGATTGAAACTGCTACCCAGCTACTATTTAAGGCCCCAGTAGGGGAGCCCACCTCGGTAGAATGAGCCGGATCAGCTAGTGCGTTTGTCAGAATTCTCGGGTAACCAAGTGAGACACAGTCTACCCGAGTAATGATGATTTAGATCCGATATTGGACCTATGAACCGACCCAGTATGCCTCCCATCCCGTATGTGTGATAGAGCCTTCTAGGCTAGTGGCGGCGATTATGACGTATTTATCTCACTATGGTAACCGGGAATAGTCAGTTAACCCTTAACCCTCATTTAGAGAGTGGTCTGAAATTTGTGCGCATGATGGGAAAGTCTGCCGGTATCATACTGGTATCAGCGGGGTGTGGGCGCTCCGAAGCCATACATAAATTTCCTTTAGTGCTCCAGTATTCAGGCAACCGGAGTTGCCATATCTGTAGTCCTAGCAGCCGCACACACACCCCATCAGCCCTCCCACTTGCGAATCGGGAAAATATGGATCTATCATACCGTATCGTAAATGGCAGAGCGGAGAAATATTTTTCCCGCAATCCATTCTAAGTCCTTGGGTCCAGCATTTCTACACTATTCAAATCTTCGGGCTTATTAAGGGCTAATTTGCTAAGCCCGATTACATCCATTACCCAACCAGGAATTATTGTTGACAGAGGCCGAATTGGTTTCTTGAACAAATGAATTGAAGATTGGTTCCCACCTTGATTGGTTCCCACCTTGTGTGGTACTTCTAATCCGGACAACAAGCGAGGAGCCCCCACCTCCGGAAGGGGTGATATTCAAGGAGAAGCTAATGGGGATTCTTCTGGCCTACTGATGTATGCGTAAATGTGTCGTATAGCATTGCCAAGTCTAGAAGTTTGCTCGGTATAGCAGAACGTAAACTGTACCTGCTATACCGTAGTAGCTCAAAAATGCGCTGGGGTTGCTCTAGGGTGTGTATCACTTCGGGGGGTACCAGTACTCGAGTACTCGAGTATACCAACACAAGGGTTCGAAAAATACCCAACTCTTAACCTAACCGTATCCGAGCAGATTCTGTTAACGATCTCACGAAATGAGCCTAAGCAATACTCTCCGTATTTCGCACTCTGATCTGCATACCGTAAGAACTTGGGTAACCGGACCGTGCTTTATGAAGTCCAGAATTTCCTTCTCCAGAAAGGGGGGCAAAAATGCACCAAGAACACAGCCCCTGTCCCACCTGCGAGATAGAAAAAGAAACAAAAGTTTCTTGGCTATACTGAGAGAGGGAAGTCCAACGACATAGCACACCGTTTAATTATTCAATTTCCTACGGTATCTCGCCTTCTGACGCATAGTACCTTTCCTCAGGTTGGAGCAACGAAAAGCATAGAGGTTCCCGCCTCATACTTTGATCTCCGAGAATGCCAAAATCTCTATCATACCCAGCGATAGGCACTACAAATGATACGGAATAGCGCTTTAGCAATTATACTTCCAGCTTGGCAACAGTCTAGTATATTCCAAAATACAGGAGCGAAGCTTAAGAGGGTATATTCATGCTAAAAACGCTGTGTAATGCTCCCACTGGTTTTGTACAGATATAGGTACGGCGGCCTAAATATACAGACTGGTGAGCACCCCAAAAACGCCAGGATAGGGTGGGCGGGAGTGCCAAATCTCTGGACCACCATGAGGTCCACGGAATCTGATTCTAACGCCGAATTGGAATATGATAAAGTATGAATATGCAATTACTGTAACACACATTTCACAAAGCTCCTACTCTGACGGTAAAAGAGAGACCTATCACTCAACACCGGCCCGACCCATTCGTTCACTTTTTCGTGCGGGAGCAATATCACATGCCTTCCTATCGTATCATACCCCAAACCCTCCGGGGTAACCATGTCCAACCCCCACCATAAGCCCTTCTAGCAACGTTTCGGCCAATTTTTTTTTTCCCCGCAGATCGACCACAAGCGTTGACGCCCCTCCCCAATTAGCATAAATAGGCACCATCCCCCCCACTCCCTCTCTCCTCCCATCATGCGATTTTACTTCATAGGATCATTTCTATAGTAAATCGTCCCATCTGAAACTCCAACCAGAGCAACAGATTCTCCAACCTGGGGGATGACCATTAACTCCTCGAGGCCCAAGAGTGAAGCCTTTTTAGCCTCCGCTTTGGCGGTGGTGGTGATGATCTCGACCCAAATTGCCGTTTTTGTTTACCCTTCCGGGTACCATGGGCGATGAGGGTGGGCCTCGATGGAAGTCTGACAGGTTCCGCACTGCACTACATTGTACATAGTCAGTCTATTAGTTTATGCATTAATATTATGATCCATTCAGGACCCGCCCGACTGCGACGAATATTCAAAATTGTATTTCCCAAGTGGTAGTGGAAGGATCTCATCTTGGCAGGAGCAAGACTCGTGAGGTTTTCGAAGACCGAGCCTCTCCTGCACACACACCCATCCCGGCCCGCAGACCCCATTCCGAAAAAAAAACCACTCCTTTGGGACCTACATACCAGTATCGGCTTCCTTAGTTAGCATAGATTTCCAGCTCGTCTGTTTCCTCCTACCAGAATTCCCTCGGCTGGCTTTCCCGAAACCTCGGCCAATGGGGAGGAAAAAGTTGCGCTCGGGCGTTGATAGCGGGACATGGACAGAAATAACTTGTGCATAACCAAAATGTGATCTGCAACACGAGAGCACAAAACCGGTAGGCTAAGGACAAGTCGGTGGTTTTTGCGGCAGGGGTAATGGTCATGGTGTAAGTCTGTTCGCCCACATTATATATAAATTAATATAATGCTAGGAAACGTAATATACCTAATCTATCGGGCAAACCTAGTAAAGTACACTCACCCTCAGGCTCCTAGCCAGATCGACAAGAGAAAAAAATTTGCGGAAAAACATTTTGCCATGATATCCGGAAAGCTTACTACAATACTACAGTACTCGTAGAGGTCTGCAAACTCTACTCGAGTGTTCGAACTTCCGGTCATGGTGCCAGACCTCCTGCTGGGATACCGCCGGACGGGCCCAGGAAGAGTCCAGAAACAATACGGTACCGTAAGCCCCCGATAGCACTCTACCGGTCTATGATAGCAAAAAGCATTCCGTACCGTGCAAAAACGTTCGACACTAGGTACCGTAATTGCCCTTCTTTCAGCTAAATATTCTGACACTCTTAGTTTTACTTTTTCTAGTATAGTTCACCAATCTTTGCGGGTATCGCTAGTATGGGAAACGGTGCGTGATGCAATAGGTTCATGGTGAATTAGGGAACAGTTGCTATGATACCGTGTTGTACGAGTACCGGTACTTGAACTGCACGCTTCAATCTTGGAAGGCAGCGTTTCTGATATGAAATTTCGAAACCGGGTATTACCGTTTCCCACCCTATGATCCCGTCAAATTGAAGTGCAGGTAATCACACTCCAAGACTTCAACCCTTGTACTGTACTGTACACTGCCACGTTGCAAAAGAATTCGTCGTACAAAACATCCTGAAAAAAATGAAAATGTTGCGAGATGAGCAGGAGAGGAGAGAAAATATTCACACGGGCCCACAGTACTGTACCTGGACTACACCCGCGCAGCTTAATTCCATCCAAGCACCCCTGACACTGCCTTTTCACTGCCCTCCCTCCCGCTAAACCTCACGGCGATCATCGAGATCAACGAGATCCTTCTGACAGAAAATTACAATTATCGCACCTGAGCTGGCTGGCCGTCGTGCACCCTACTGTACTCCGCATATTTTGGGCACTATCCGGTTCTACCTTGCCGGAACAAGTATAGCACCCCCCTAAGTTACTTAAGATCTCACGACGGAATACACCGTCGGCTGGGTACAAAAATTACTGACGAGCCGTTTCCTTCACATCGCCGAACGAATTTTGGATCGTCCGGGTATAGAGAGTGTAGCACATGGTCGAACGAAAGAGCTTAATGGCCCGGATTCGGTAGCAGAGCATGCGGATTGAATCAGTAGGTGGATATTGCCGAAAATGCCTCAAGTAGGGTTTATATAATGCTAATATTCTCAACGCTGTCGACCAACTCGAGTTTAAAAAGCTTAGACCGGTTTTTTTCCCCTTCCGCTCCCTGCTCTGGATGGTGGTACTGTATCTGAACTCTCCACTCTCTCATCCAACTTTCTCGTTAACATCCAAAGTGGTTTTTTTTTTCTGTGCCTGCCTTGCGAAGAGAGTCCGGTAAGCCCCACTGTATTATACTAGTACGTTACCCTGCTGTCTCGTATGGTGCGTAGTGTAAACTTACAATCCGAACCCTGATGATAACCACTAGAGGTCGTTTGGTAACCAGACACAGGCCAAAACACACCAAAATTGCGCGGTTCCCGAGCGATGATAACTCCACAGATATCTTGAAACCCAGCTTTGGAAAAAAAAAAAATATTCGACATGTCTAAAGTATAATATATATTTATTTTGGCATTTTTTCTTCTATTGTTTATAGAGAATTGTGGGCACACGAACTGGCAGGTACCTCACGGGAATGAATATTCCACACCTCACAGCTCTGGGAGAGCGGAAGGAAAAAAAATCCCACACTTTTTTGTATGTGTCCTGTCCTAGCAGCTTACTTTTTGAAACATTTTTCTGTGTTGTTTCTGCGCATGGTGGTTGCGTACCGATAGCTCGAAAACCGTCACTTTCGTTGTGTTTTGGCCCCTGTCTGGTTACTAAACGACCTCAATTGTAATTTAACCTGCAGGCGAGTGACGGCCGGTGACGATCACAACATCCCGAGCACCGCGAAAGCAAAAAGCAGGCACGGCTACGCTTGCTATATATGATACAAGAAATGTCACCGAAACCACCCACCCATCCCGGCTATTTCTCGAGGTGGTGCAAGGGCAGGTACTGCACTATTCGCACGACTGAGCATCGAAGATAGTCACCTAACTGGGGAATAATTCCCACAGAAGCTACCCAACCCGGCAGGGCTAGGTACAGTACTCTACCAGCAGTTATCAATCCCACAGGATAGATATCATCATCATCACTACCATCCTCGAACCGCTGCACCACCATCCTTCAATATTTTTTTTCCCCCTATCCGTCGTGCAGTTCTTGCTTTGGCGTTGGGAATGCAGTGTTGTTTTTCGACGGTGATTTGGGGGATACTGTGACGGTTGCACTGAGGGTCACTTTAGGATCTTTTGGCTAGATGGGTCGCTTGTATAGTGTATGTATAGAGCGCAGTACCGAATTGCCATATACGCCTGTTTCCCTGTGTCGGGCGGTGAAAGGCGCTTGTGGCGAGAGCGGTTCACGCCAAAATCGTTCGTACTATCACTGGGGTTGCGGGGGGAGGAGGTGTTGCGCATTTCAAGATTCAGAGAGTACGATATAAATGACCAGGTGTTTCCCCCTCCGGCGAATAGGGGGAGAGACCAAGCAAGACATGGAGCAAGTAGGTCTTTGCCCATTGCCGGAGTGTCCGCCTTCTGTACTTTTCGTGAACCACTCCTGGGCAGTAGATAACCTCTCGTCTAGCAGCCGGGTCCCTCTGTGGGCCAGCTCCTCCTATACACATCGATAAAATAGGACAGAAGTCGAGAAAGCCCCACGAACCCATACTATCCCAGCAAGAATGCCGGCTCAGAAGAAGGAGAGGATTCCGTGTTGAAATGGCGGAAGGGGAGATGACTTATCCCCGATAGCTCAAAGATACGCTATCCATTCCTCAGAGGCTATGAGTCGAAGCGAACTGGTGAAGATGCGCTGCTAGATATCTCATCCCCCTATATCTCCCTTCCTCCATCGAATGATCATCCAGCTGCTAAAACGAAGCATTCTCAAAAAGGGCCGACAACGAGCAAACAAAGAATTATATAACCCAACCGGAAACTATCCAACGACCCAAACCCCTGCATTATTCTTAATATTTAATTACAAAACCACCCATTTCTCCCCCCGTTCCCGTGCACCCAATCATGAAAAGTCACTCACTTCAAACTTGGCTCATGGGTTTCCGACTCCCACCATTGCCACTCCTAGTCGTCATCCCCCGAATCCCATATGCACTTATAGCAAAGCTACCCAAAAACGCCGCAAAAGCAAACCAGTGAAACGCCGTCATAGCGTTCGCCTCGTGACACCGTTTCGCGGGAGAAAAGTATCCTCCGCCGTTGGTAATTCCGTTGTTAAGGAGAAATTCCTACTCTCTCACTCCTTCGTCAGCCATCCGCCACACGCAGGGTGGGCGTATAGAAGAGGAGAGCAAACCTTGTTCCCACAACTCCGCCCTCCCAACTGTGCCGCCATAGCTATCCCAGCGCTGAGCAAGAACACGCAATTCAAGCCATCAAGAACAGTGCTGGCGATCGGGTTATCGATTTTACTGAAGATACTAGCCGGGATGAGGTACAGCAAGAGCGACAATGTGGCGAATACGGCGGCGAATATGCTGAAGTTTACGCGCGTGGGTGTGCCGCCGCGGAATTGTTGCTCGATTAGCGCCCCCGAGAGGGCGAGGATTATGGTTATGAAGGTTAACTCGATTAAGCGCAGGAGTATTGCCGAGATTTTTGTAAAGGAGGGCATGGTTGCGGATTCGTGGTGAGTTTGGGTGGGAAGGAGGAGAGAGGGCGAGGAGGGGGTTTTATGAAGGGTGCAGGGAGAAGAAGGGAGGTGAGGGTGAGGTTTTGGGGACGTCATGAGGTTGTTATAAAACCTGATTTTTGCTACACTGTTGCGCGGTGTATACCGGTACTGTACTCGAGTAGAGTTTTGTTTAAATTCCCAGGTTAGGTTGAGTGTTGGCTGGTGCTTCTGGAATCCGATGACAATCACTCATGGCATCACATTAGCAGTAACAGGCTCAGACTAACCCCCTGATCACCACAAACCGCAAGTCACCCTTGAGAAATTCCGATTCATACACGTCGTTTTACCCTTTCATTCACAAGTCTCTAACCCACCAAGGCCCTAACGTCATCCCTCGGAGAAACCACACCACCACACAACCTCAAAACAAGGCGCCATGGCATAAATGTCATCACACTAGCCCGCCTAATCTTCGTAACAATCACAAGCAGCCCCCGAGAATCCCCAAACGAAGGAAGAAAAAAGTAACACTTGGGGTAACGAAACGAGCGAGTGACGACCCATGTTCATGAAAAAAAGAAAATAGATCCCTACCGAGATGTATGATACTGTGATACAATAACTATGATATCTTAGCGGTATCCTATGATAAAATTGAAAGAGTGAAAAGTAGTAGAGTAGAGATTTAAAGGGAAAGGGAAAATATAAAGAATAAAAGAAGCCATCCATCCAACCAGCCAACATCAATCGCACTTCCAAACCCACCCGCGCGAACAAACGAACAAATAAAAAGCAAGACAATCAAGAGCGGGAGAGGGGGACAGGGGGAGAGGGGGAAGAGAGATATCACTCGGTAGCCTCAGCCAATTGAATAATCAACCGACTAGCCAGCTCCAAGAAGGGGAACGGAGAGCTAACTTCCTTCTCCCCATCGCCTCCATCGCCCTCCCCTCCATTCCCACTCTTCCCTTTCCCCTTCCCCCTCCCCTTAACAGCAACTTCCTCCTCCTTCCCATCATCACCTTTAATAACTCCCCGCCCATCACCCCCCAATTCCGTTAGAAACCCCACCTTCTTCCTCTTCCCCAGCCGCTCGTAACCTGCACACTTGAAGTCGACCAGATAAAAGTTGTGTTCCAGCTGGTAGAGTTGTATTTCCATGTGCACATACAGACCTTCCTCGCCAATGGGATTGGCAGGCGGGTAATTGGGTCGCTTGGTTGTAGCGGTGGAGGTGAGGGGGGACTTGCGCCAGCGGCAGTGGATTATCCATGGATCTGTGGGGACGGTTTGTGTGCGCTTATTTTTACTGTTTTGCTGGACATTGTTGTGGCGACTGTGTTGCCGGGACTGCCAGTCGCTGTCCGTGTCTTGGCTGTCTGCCTCCTCTTCGTGGGAGGAGGCAGAGTCCGTATCCGAGTTCGCGTACTCCTCGCCCGGGGTCTCACCTCCGGAGTCGGAGTCGTTCCCGTCGCCTTCTTCACCGTTTTCGCCAACTTCATCATCGTCACACTCTTCCAGTTCCCATTCCGCTCCGAGCTTTCGGAGCGCGCGGTATATGCATCCGACTGCTTCCAGTGGGGAATTGCGGCTCCGAATGCCAAATTGCCAGCGGGTTGGGCGCGGGCGCTTTGCGTGCTGGGCGTGGCCTGGTGGCAATGGAGTCAGGCCTTCGATCCTGTTAGTGGAGGATTGGATTCGCGTGTTTATCGGTCTTAGTCCGCGGCGGGTTTGCTGCGGGGTTATTTGCGGCGAGGACGGTGCAGGTGAGGGCGGGGGCGGGGCGCCTGACATATACGCTTTGTGGTATGCCGGGAGACTGGTCGGTAGGATGGAGATTGAGGAGGAAGGTGAGGGGCCGACGTCTCCTGGTGTTGCTACGTCCTCCGGAACGCCCGCGATGCCGAGGCCATCCTTCGTGCCAGGCAGAGCAAAAGGTGAGGCGGTGCGTTGCGGGGTTTGGGCGTTAAAGCTGGGAGAATTCGGTGCTTGGGAGTTCGGTGTGTGTCGTGGGGAAGAGGGGAGGTATGAGTTCCAGGCAGGCGGGGATTGAGCGAGAAAGTTTTTGATGTTGTGGGCATTCGATAGGCGGGCTTCTTACTCATTAGTTTACCAGCGACCAAGGGTGAGGGGGAGGGGAAGGCCACAATCTCTCATCATCATCTGATTCTCCCGCACAATCATGTACGCGTCTTTGATCGCACTAGGCTCCTCCTTGTTCAGCGCATCCTGGACATCATCTTTCGCATACCCCATGGTAGACCCCAACTTTCCCACCACCGCTTCGTGGAGTTCGCCTTTCAAACGCTCCGCGGGTCCTCGCTCGATGCTCTTCCACGTCGGCAGCCTAGAAAAATCCACACCTGTATTAAAGAATTCTTCCGGTGGGGGGCGAAGGTACTCCGGAAGCCCTTTGTTGAACCAGGGATCCTGTCGAATGTCCGCGACAGTTATGCGGGATAACGGGTTCACCACGAGCATTCTTTGAATCAGGTTGCGCGCTTCGGAGCTTAAAAAGTGGGGGATTGAATAATTCCCCTCTACACAAATCGTCAGCAGCCCGACGTGATACGAGTTGGTTTGCGGGGCAAAACAGAACAAAAAGAAAAAACGTACGCCCAATCTTTTTGAATAACGTGGGTATATAATCGTCGTCGAAGGGAAGCCTTCCGCAAAGTAGGACGTAGAGGATAACCCCACAACTCCAAACATCGACTTCCGGCCCCGCATACAACTTTCCAGAGATGACCTCCGGCGCAGCATAATTCGGACTACCACAAGACGTCTTGAGAAAGTTTCCATCCGTCATAATATTACTAAGACCAAAATCCGCAATCTTGACATTGAGGTAATCATCCAACAGCAAGTTCTCCGGTTTCAAATCCCTGTGGACGATCTTATGACGGTGGCAATACTCCACGGCGCAAATTATCTGCTGGAAGAACCGTCGCGCGGAGTCCTCCGTCATTTTCCCATTCGTGACGATATACTCGAACAGTTCTCCGCCGGCATACTCTATAACCATAATTATGTCGTTGGGTGTCGTTATCACCGTATACCTAAACCGCCCATCAGCACCACTCCACCGATGAGAGGACCCCCCTTTTTTTCTCAGACGGGAACAAACAGCTTGATAATGTGCGGATGCCTTAGCAACTGCAGGTAGGCAATCTCCCTCTCCACCCGCCCTGCCATATCCCTATTATTTAGCTTCTTCCTCGAAATAATCTTCAAAGCGACCTTCTGCCCGGAGACCTGATGCACGGCCAATTTCACCTTTCCGAAGGAGCCCTCGCCAAGGGTCTTGATGATGTTGTACTGCCCGAGCCGGTGCTCCGCATCGGGTTTGTGCGCATCATGGCGGCGGTGAGGCCTTTGCTGCTGCTGCTGTTGAGAGCACGATTGGGACTGGGATTGCTGGTGCTGGTGGTGTTGTTGCTGCTGTCTGTATGGGGGGATGGCCAGGTCCCCATCCGTATAGGTTGGAGGCATGGCCGGTGAGCGGGGGGCTGATTGAGACGTGGTTGATTATTAAGGTGTTTTCTCCTCTTTTGCGAAAGGGGTCCGTCGGCACTTTCTATTCGTTACGGTCCCGTAGCGGTCGCACGGTGCAGGAAGATTTCGCGCGGAGGTGGTGGGGAGGAGGGGAAGATGTTAAGCCGCGACGAGAGGTAAAGTAGAGAAGTAAAGCGCTGTGAGCGGAACGGGGGGGGGGGTGGTACGATAGCGGAGAGGAAGGCTTCCGAATCGTGGGCGATAAGAAAGATCGAACAAAGATTAGATGCGACGACGTCACAATTAGCCCGCTATCTGGCCGATCCCCTGATTGTACCGTGCGGTACGGTAATTCCCATCACAGCCTTGCCCCGTTAACACGATGAAGCATTCTCGAGGTATCATACCGTGTACGGTAAAGCCAAACCCTCCGTGCCATAATATCCAGAGTATGATAGCCGTGGATACCGGTGGATTCGATCCTGATCCCCAGGTGGAAGAGTGGCTTCATCCGAAATCACCCGCTCTCGCCTCATCACTTCCTCCCTCCCCATCAGGCAGCGGTTAATGGCGTTATCGCGGTCATCATATCAGTAAGGTTCCCCCTTCGCTCCTTCTTGGCCCAGCCAACCATGGTTAGGTGGAGCCTGCCATGTCCGAACGGCAGGCTGTACTCGAGTACAGTATGTAAATTATTCCGGAGGGGAGGCTGTCTACGGTGCGTAGAAGAAGCACGGCAGAGGAACGGCAAGCCTACTTATAGCCAACACGGTAACCTGCTGACCTGATACCGGTATCTTGGGAATGGTTCACCGTATCACGCCCTTCAGGTAATTGCATCGAGTAATATCCCCGTGCCCCCAATATTTTACTAATATCCCACGTAAACGACCCCTTAGGAACGGTATATCCCTACCTCAGTGTACCCGATGTTCCCTCCCTTGTGGGGGGCAGAGCACCTTCCACTCTCTCTCCACCTTTAGCGATACTTGTGCAAGTGCGATGGGGGATCCAGCATTGGCTCGTCTCCAAGGGTGTTACTACCACAGGAGAACTGAGGCCGGAATTCCGCAGCAAAATGGTTGCCGGTAGGGGAATCGACAATCATGCGGCAGCTGAGAGATGGCGCGAGCCACAACATGCCAAGCACTGCCACACGGGTCCTTCCGTAATCAACAAATTCCGCGAGCAGAAAGCGCACACCGTATTAACTTAACATACGAGTACGGTAACGACCCGTAAGGCACCGTAAGCCGTCAACCCTTTTTCCTAGGAGGTTTGAAAAGGCCCTCAACCCCTCTCATTCCCTTCTCCACACATCACATCCCCGCACCACGGTACAAACCATCGTCAGATCCACCGCAAAAGCCACTACCACAAGCCACGAGCCAAAATGGCCTCAAGGACCCTCCACCACCTCCTACGTCGGTGGCAACTGCCGAACCTCCCTTTACGAGCACGTCCCACCCACAAACCAACGGCTCTCTTCTGCAATCTCCGCCAACCCCTTCGCCAATCCTTCTCGACGGCAAAAACAATCCCACCGCCACCCCCGGCGGGGCCCACCACCCTCTCCGCGAGGCTAAAACACCTCTCGCGTGAGTACGGTTATAGTGCACTGGGCGTGTACCTCCTCCTCTCTGCCCTCGACTTCCCCTTCTGCTTCCTGGCGGTGCGGTACCTGGGCACCGAGAAGATCAGTAAGTTGGAAGCTAGCGTCATAGGATTCGTTGAGCCCTATTGGGTTTCGCTGCGGAGTGCTGTTGGGTACCCACCTGCACCGGTGCCGGTGGGGGGTGGAGGTATGGAGGTGGAGGAGAAGGGGGGGCAAGAAGCAGTGCACGATGCGATGGGTGAAGCTGGGGAGGCGGCCAGTAATTTTTCCCTTCCTCCCTTTCTTGGTTGGGATGGTTTGGGGGAGGCGGCTAATGTGGGGTGATTGATGGGATAGGCATATGGACGGTACTAGCACTCGCCTACGCGGTCCACAAATCATTCATCTTCATCCGGGTACCGTTGACGGCGGCGGTGACGCCAAAGGTTGTGAAGGTTTTGAGAGGATGGGGATGGGATATTGGAAGGAAGGGCGGGACAAAGGAGGCTGTTAAACGGGCTAGATGAGATTAATTGAGCTAGAAGGGGGGAGGTGTGAAGCTGTATAATACCTTAGGAAGTGTCCTTTTTCTTTATTTTATTATTATTTTACATACATTCTGTCCCCTCTTACTTTTAAGTATGCGCATTGCGGCCGCAGGATAGCATAGAGAGTCAAAAGGGAAAAAAAACTTCACTCAACTTCATTCAATACTCACCCCGCTCACCCTTCTCACCCTTCTCTCAACTAATTAACCAACTAGTCACAACAGGCCCGAACCCCCCCACCCCCATCAGAAAAACTCCCGAAAACCTCCCCCGGCGCATCCAAACTCCCCATTTCGATCTCCACCTTGACATTACCGCCATCACCGCCTCCATCAGTACACCCCCAAACAAGCACCACCCCTCCACAGTGCGCACAGAAACCCCTTATCCCACCCATATACTCAAACTCCCGATACGGCCATCCTACCCCGCCCCCTCTTTGTCCTCCCGGGTCTTCATATCCCGGCGGTTGCCCTTCCGTCACCGCACAACGGGGCCGCGCGTCGGGGAGGTATACCGCCCTGGGAATCCTGGGGACTTGCAGTGTCTGTGTAGCATCGGTTGGCGGCGGGGGCGGGGGAGCAGCTAGCGAGACTAATTGAACCTGAGAGGAGGATATGTGGAGGGTTGTTCTCGTGAGCGTTTTTTGGTGGTTCGGGGATGTGCTGTCTGAATCAGTACGCTCATCGATGCTTCTTCGGGAGGGATGGAAGGTACCAGTGCGTGATAGAGACTGTGTTTGGAGGAGGAGGAAATAGGATCCGGTAGCGGAGGAGCGAGCATTGGCAACCGCCCGTGAATGATTTTGGTGTCATTATTTGAGGGAGGGGGGTTCAATCGCTGGAGGAGCGATCTTCACGAATGATGGGCTTGATACGAACATAAAGCACTCCAAAAAAGATGGAGTCAATTGCTGGGGATTTGGTGTCTTTTTATAAGAACTAATAAACTTGTTCCTCACCACTGCCTATGTACATTTCCGGAGGTAGGTCGGTGACTCATTCCATTCTCTTCCCCCTCCCGCCCTCACCAATCCACGGCTCAACCATAGGGTATGGTCCGGTGGGGGGAACAGTGTACGTAGCTCAGACTAGCTTTGCGGATGAAAATATCATCCCCAGTTTCCCCTAGAGCTCTCTCGTCCGAATCTCCTCCCGCCGAGGTCTTGACAAATAAATTGGCATAATGGTTGCCCAACTCCGGCTTGACCATCCCTCCTCTCCCAATCTCTCGCCCCGTAGAATCCGGGAATACGAGATGTATCCGCACACTGTACACCCCTTGGCAGTGGAAGGCTCTAGAAGAAAGAAACGCCGTGTATCCAGACGTCGGCTCTTCCGGGGATTGCCGATTCTCCGTGCGGCGGGAGCCAACACTTCCCACAAAGCAGAGAAAGAGGGGGCGAAGAGTAATCCCCCCGTTCGGCACTCGAGTATTTGTACCACTGCCTCAAGTAGATATTGTATCCAGGTTCGTTCGCCTTAAACTTCGGGATTTCCTGATTTCTAATTTATTCTCCCCCCGCATGGTTCTCCGATTGGATGCCCGCTCGGAGTTGGTTGCGGGGGAGGAGGTACCGTAGATGTTGGGGCCGAGCCCGACCCTCTACTACTACTTAACCCTTTTTCCCACATAAAATACATATTTTCGTCGCAGGAGGAATGGTCACCACAAAGATGAAAAACAATCTTAAAAGTAGTAGATAATTTGAGGTGAAGGAGATGAATCAAAAGATTCACCAACCCAATGGCTATAACATATCTTGCGGCATCGCAAGCAATCTATCTAAATAGTAGTTACTACCGATCACTGATATCTTGACTAAAGTTCCCCCCATTACCTGACTCAAACCTGCATTTGTCTCTCTCTGCTGTGTGGTGCTCTCTGTGGCATGGAATACGCCATTCCAGAAAAACCCTAACACATGTGAGGATCTAGGTTACTATAGCGATTAGGGTTAAAGCTTTACTACTAAGCACCAATTTTATATGGTATTGCGAACCCCTGCCAATTGACCACAAGGGATAATGCTGATAAAGGGCACTACTCTAGGGGTTTAATTTAAAACTGGGTAGAATACTGGATAATACCAAGTTGGTGTAGTATAGTTGCTACTCGTGCCAAGGTTGTGGCTGCTGAGCCACAACCCAGGCGGCTCGCTCGCTCGCAACCTGGGCACTCTCAAGAGAGTGCCTGACAGCTCAACATGACTTTGTAGCTCAACATGACTTTGTGGCTTACCATACTAATTTTGTGGCTCAACCTAACTTTGTGGCTCAACCTAACTTTGTGGCTCAACATAATATTTTGAATAGAGATAGTATTATACTAGTTTACCATAGAATCTTTTTCTGTCTTTGAAGCAACATTTTAGCTTGAGATAACTTTATATATAGTTCCAGTGTAGAACAATTTCATATTCTCATTCACAACCTTGATTACCCAGCTTACAACAAGTCATGCCTCCAAAACCAACCTTTGTTCTTCCAAGTAAGCGAGTCGAACCTTACGAAGATGTGGAAATACGGATTCAGGCAGCTATTACTGAAATCCACGACAGCCATGAGGAGTACCCAAATGTTGCATCAGTGGCTAGGAAATTCGAAATTCCAGTTTCCCGACTTCGTGCACGATTACAAGGTACAGTGTCAAAACAAGATCGACTAGGAGCAAATCGTGCTCTTTCTGCAGACCAAGAACTGGCCGTTTGCCAGTATCTAAACCATTTAGACACAATTGGTACAAGTGCAAGACTCCCGATGGTTACAGGATGTGCGAACGCTGTACTTCAAATGTCACATACCAGCTCTCGTTCAGCTCCTGTTGTCAGCGATCATTGGGTACAGCGATTCCTCAATAGACATCCAGAGTACCGTATACGAAAACAGTAGTCGATCGACATTAACCGTAAGAATGCTCACCAACCTAATGATATACAAGCTTGGTTTGAAAGCAACTTGAGTGTATGTGAGGAGCACTCCATTCATGCCGGGGACCAGTAGAACTTCGATGAAACTGGATTCCGGATTGGAGTTGGAAAAGATCAGTGGATTATAACAAGAGATCCAAATCGGCAATGCTACTTAGGTAGCTCTACAAACCGGGAACTTATAACTGTTTGTGAAACAATAAGTGGTAATAGTGCGGTACTACCTCCTGTGATCATTATTCCAGGAGTCATACATCAAGAGCCATGGTATACTGCAACCAGAATCCCTAATGATTACTTGATTGGTACATCTGAAACTGATTATACCAATGATATGTTAACGATGGAGTGGTTAGCGCACTTTGAACACTTTTCATCTAAACAGCAAACTGCGACTTATCGCCTCTTACTCCTTGATGGCTGTGGGTTCCATTGTACTAAGCAGTTTCTCGACTACTGTGATACATACAAGATCGTGGTTTTCTGCCAGTGCCTTCCTCCTCATAGTAGCCACCTTCTTCAACCACTTGATGTAGTAGTGTTTCAACCATATAAGCATTACCATGCAGAGGCTGTTGAGGCTGCAACTCGTACTGGTTGTGGGAACTTTGATAAAGTTGAGTTTCTTGATGCTATTGCTGAGATACGTCAGCAAACCTTCAAGTTGACCACGATTTTGTCCGCATTTCGGGCAACAGGATTAATTCCCTATAATCCTGCTATTGTTATTTCAAAGCTTTGTGAGGCAGTAATACCAGGTTCACTGATACCTCCTACTCCCGAGCCCCTACTCGATATTCCTCAAACAATTCCTGCCCTAAAACTGCAAGGAGAGCAGTTGCTTCAAGAGGCACAAAAATTATCACCTGGATTTCAGCAGAGACTCAAACTTGTGCTCCAAGGTGGTTTAGCCCTTGCACAATCGGGAGCTTTAGCTATAGAGCATATGGAAAAAACCAAAGGTGTTGACGAGGCACGAAATGCAAGACGTCGTGCACAAACTCGACGGCAAGTGCAGAGAGGGGGGGTACTATACACATCAGAAGCTTGTGCAATGGCAAAAAATAGAGAAGATGCGGAGCTTGAACAAGCTGAAATCAGGCTATGAAGAGCCTAAGAGGCAAAAAAGAAAGCCAGTACAGCTGTGCATAAGCCATTCTTGGAAGAAATTAAGAAACGTGTAAAAGAAAGGCGAGGAATTCGGGCCCATAAGAAGAAGATCTCTAGATTAATTGTTTTGGGTATTAAGAGACAATGGGCAAAGTCCTATAAAAACCTGTAAGGTAGAATTCAATTTACTTTATAAAAATTTTAAAATATAAAAACTATATTAAGCTATATCAAGCAACAATATCATATTAAGCTGCAAAGTTATATTGAGCCACAAAGTTAGGTTGAGCCACAAAGTTAGGTTGAGCCACAAAATTAGTATGGTAAGCAACAAAGTCATGTTGAGCCACAAAGTCATGTTGAGCTGTCAGGCACTCTCTTGAGAGTGCCCAGGTTGCGAGCGAGCGAGCCGCCTGGGTTGTGGCTCAGCAGCCACAACCTTGGCACGAGTAATACACTCACCTACCGCTATTTATCCATGATGATGGGTTAGCATCTGGGTTACATAAGCGCTCCCAAATATGAAAATTTGGCCCACAATACTGGTAGGGTAACTATATCTCTGCAACACCATATTTAGACATGAAAATATCTCTTACTCCTTTATTCTTGTTCCTACCCCAGCTCCACAAAGCCACGCAACACCCTGTTTGACAGGAAAATACCCACGTTTAGTGTTCGTTACAGGGCGGGGCGGGTTTCCGCAAGTTCTCCCTGCCCCGTTACGGTCACATGGCGCCGCCCAACTCCCCCCTCTCCGCCCCGCCCTCTGTACGGGGGCTACCGGGTAACCCCAATTGTGCTCCCAGCCATATAATTTGGTGGGAGCAGTAGCAGGGCCCCAGACAGGGGGTGGCCAGGGTGGGGGGCCGTATCGGGCCAGGGAGGGAATGGAGGAGAAAATAGGCCCCGCCCCAGGCCAAACGCCGGGGCGGGGAACGGGGGCAGGGACCCGCAGTTTTCGGGACCCTGGAGGCCCCAAAACGAACTCTACCCACGTTCCTCTTTGATCCTTCTTTCCACCATTGGACTCGACTACAGCAGTTCCCCCATTCCCCCCAAGTTGAGGTTCAGCTCTGCCCACTTCCCATGCATCTTTCACTTATAAGCCTAACCCAGTGACAGAATGTCCGCCAACAAGATGTTCGCTACCAGCATGAGAAAGATGTTTGCCAGGATGGAGTCTAATATGCAAAGCTTGGAAGTATGTTTTCTTTCTGGATACTTATGAAAATTAAGGGGTAGGCTGCTGATTAATATAATACGGTCTCCAGAATGGACTTTGAAAAATCAGACTCCAAGTCTTGTTGCCGGGTTGGGAGGAGCTGCTCTTATCACTGGTGATGGTTGGATCCGCAGCCATGGTATCAAAGCCAAGATTCTAGGCGAAATTGACTTATTTTGCACTATGGTTAATAAGAAATTTACCAAGGTTGATGAAAAATTATCCAATCTTCAGAAGAAGCTCACTGAGCTTAAGAATGAAAATGAGGTCATGCAGGGTCTTTTGCTTAAGATCATGGTCAAAATGATGAAAGCCCTCGAGAGCAACAAAACAGAGATGCATGAGTTTAGTGTTTGTTACGGGGTAGGGCTGGGTGGGTTTCCGCAAGTTCTTCCCACCATGTTAGGTGTAACCAGAACTGGAGTTCAGTCCGTTCGGTTCAAGGATTTGTTTTATGTTTTGTTTTACTTGTGGTTTCGAGTATCCTTTGATACTCAGTTTGTTTTACTTGTGGTTTCGAGTATCCTTTGATACTCAGTTTGTTTTACTTG